CCCCCCGACCGGGGATGGACGGTGACGTTGGTACCTGACCTCTGCCGTGGACTACGTGGGTGCGTAAGTCCGGAATATTCCGGCAAAAACCACAGGAAGCGGCATGTTTAACGTGGGAAAACCGCTCCCGTTCGTCCGTCTGGAGCCTAGCCGGGAGTTGAAGCCAGTACGCCGGGCGCGTGTATGGAGGGGCCGCGCAGCCAGCGGACCCCTCATACCCATGCGAGAGGGGAGCTTACTCTCGCGAGCTCTAGCCTGGGGGCAGGGTGTGCGACCGGTCGGTACGGCACGCGCCCTGCTCCTAGGGTGAGTGAAAACCTTTAGCATCTTGGTGGACCTGGCCCTCTCCAGGAACCTTTTCATTAGAATCACAGGGTGGGATAGGGGTGGCTCCCCGAAAAGCAGCCTATCTGCTTCCCATCACGTAATTAGGGTCTGTTTTCACCGGGGAAGATCCCTCACTGCGGTGAGGGTGTCACGATGACCGAACCGGTTTACAATATTTCTGCCATTATGACGAAACAAAAAACCACCACAAAAACCACCACTAAAACAAAAAACAAAGATGCGAAGAAGACTGGGAGCGACGACTCCAAAGGACGAGGAAACACTACCGCGCCCAAATGGGGGAGTCAAGCGCGAGAGGAGGCGGAAAAAATTGCCGCCGACATGATGAGAGCTCGGGAAGAGGCGAACAAGGCTGCTGCTGCCGAGCTCGAAAGGAGAAGAGGCGATCTCCCGTCCATCTCGACGGGACGAACAAAGGCAGGCCCCGCCAGTTTTAAGCGCAGCCTGGAGAAGAACAACCGGCCACCAACACCGGAAATTGAGGTGGTCGACGGCTCCGACATGGAGACCGAGGACGCACGCACGACGAGGACGAAGACGGCCGATGTACTTCCGGCAACTGAACACTCCGATTCGGACGCGGAGATGCTCGAAGAAGACGAGGAGCCGGGAGATCGCCGAGGTCGCCCCCCGACTGTTGGAAAGTACCTCATGATGCGGCAAAGGCTGGCCGCGTCGAGGGAAGTTAAGCTCCTGAAGAAAGAGGCCAGGACCCTGAAGGACATCCTGGATAAGCGTGTTCTTCCCAATTTGAGGGACAGAAAAAATATCACGCCCGAGAGGGAGACAGCCCGCCAGATGGAGTCGATGACCCCGGCTCAAATATCGGCGGAAATGACGGAGCACACCGACGTGGTCACGAAAGTGGCAGAGAGGTCGAAGAATCTCCAAGGAGTCTTTGTCCACCGGCTGCACAAGGCCGCTACTGCGATCAGGGCTGGCACGAAGGTTCTGACGAGTAAGGCAACTAACCCGGAAGAAGGGGAGAGCCCCACGGTAGTGGAAAATCTAAGGAGCAGAATTAAGGAGCTGGAGGACCAAGTGCTCCAGCTCAGGACTCTGCTCCAGCAGAAAGCACAGTCAGAGGGGGCTGTGGCGACAAGAAAACGAAAGATCCAGAGGATGGCAGAAACCTCTGACGAAGAGGACCAGACTGTACGGGAGAGTACATTGCAACCGGAGGTGGAGTCGATAGACTCCCGGCCGGATGAGAGAATGGAGGAGGACTCCGTGCCGCACACGGTGGCGATTAGGCCTGCTCTGCGCGGCAAGAATAAGGAAATTGAGGGTGTCTCAGAGAAGAGGGCCCTTGAGGATGTCAGGCGAGTCCTGAAGGGAGTCTCAGTAGAGAGAATCCTAACAGGAGACGCAAAAACCGTAAGGGAAAGCCTTGGCAACCTGATGACGAGGTGCGAGGGCGCTCTGGCGATATTCCCTCCAGAAGGGAGAAAAGTAGCCACCACCGCCAAGCAACCCAGGTCAGCCGCGAGTAACCAACAGGTGAAAGGGGCAGCGAAAAAGGGCGAGAAGAAGGGCCAGGCGAACAAGGGCGTACAGCCCAAAACTGCCAAGGCGCCGACGACTGCCAAGGTGACGGGGAATACCCAGAATCCCCAAGCTAAGGCAAATGGAGAGGGTAAACAGACCACGATGAAGACGCAGAGCCAACCGCCCGTCAGATCAAGGGAGGAGGCCCGGGGGAACGCGGAACAGAGATCAAGATCAAGATCAAAGTCCCAAATACCCTGGGTAGAGGTCGTTAAGAGAGGCCAAAAAAAGAGGAACGACGCGGAATCGAAGAAACCGGCGTCCAAGGATAACCCGACTGCCCCGGAGAAGAGGAAGGCGCCGAACAAGCCCATCAGAGGCCCGAGAACGCAGGCCGTAACTTTGACCTGTCCGCCGGGCACTTACGGAGAAGGAATGCGATTGATCAGGTCTCAGATCAATCTTGAGGAGCTAGGGATCGACGCCCTCAAGCCAAGGAGGGCCCAGACGGGGGCCATCATTCTGGAGGTCTCGGGGGAGAATGCCAAGGAGAAGGCGGACTCCCTGGCCGACAGGATGAGGGCCGTCGTCGGTAACAAAGAGGGAGTGAAGGTCACGCGACCTGCCAAGATGGCGGAAATCCGAGTACGTGACTTGGATGACTCCATCACGGTGGTGGACGTGAGGGAAGCGGTGGCCGAGGCAGGGGGGTGTATACTCCAGGAAGTCAAGGCCGGCGAGATCAAGCTCGCCCCAAACGGTCTGGGCACCATTTGGATACAATGCCCGTTGGCGGCAGCCAAGAAGGCTGCTGCCGCGGGAAGAATCAAAATTGGATGGATCAGGGCAAGATTGGAGGTACTGGAAAACAGGCCTCTAATATGCTTCCGATGCTTAGAGAGGGGCCATGTCCGGGCCCAGTGCCGCAGTAAGGTGGACCGCAGCGGGGCCTGCTGCAGGTGCGGGGAAACCGGGCACAAGGCCCAAACATGCCGAGCCGAACCCAAGTGCCCGGTATGTACGGAGAAGGGCTTGCCGGCAAATCACAAGGCTGGAAATAAGGCCTGCCCTTTGCCGTCGAAAAAGGCCGTGAAGAAGAGGAGGCGCGAGGAAGCACGTCAGCTGGCAACACCGCAGACCCCGCGGACCCAGTCTGGGGAAAATCCCGCGAACTTGGACGCCATGGAGGTGGATGCCCCCATAGCGGAAACGAGCACACCTGCCCCGCTTGAACAGAGACAGACCAGGGCTAGGGCTGTGAGTAGCCCGCAACGAGAGGGAGAGGGCCAGGAGGGGGCCAGCGTGGCATCGCCTTCACGCCCATAAGAATAGTCCAGGCGAACATCAACCACGCCCGCCAGGCCCAGGACCTGATCCTGCAAGCCATGGCGGAGCGTGGGGCAGGCTTGGCAATTATTGCTGAGCCATGGAGGATACCGGATAGTCACCCTTGCTGGGCGACAAATACGGAGCGATCGGCAGCAATTTACTGGCGGCGCACGAAAGAGCAGCACGTGCCGTGCTGTAAGAAGGGCGAGGGACCAGGTTGGGTCATGGTGGAGTGGGGCCCCCTGCTAGTAGTAGGGGTCTACCTCAGACCCAGCCTGTCCCGAGCCGAATTAGAAGAAAGGTTGGAAGACTTGGAGATGCAGGTCAGAGCGTCCTTACCGAGGCCAATACTGATCGCCGGGGACTTCAACGCCAAGTCGGCGTTGTGGGGTTCCCGGCGGCCGGATTGCAAGGGTGCGGAGGTGGAGGCCTGGGCAGACCGCCTGGGCCTCCACCTAGTTAACACGGGCACGAAGAGTACGTGCGTCAGGCCGCAGGGGGAATCGGTGGTAGACATCACCTGGGTTTCCCCTGCGGCAGCGAGGATCATCACGGCATGGAGGGTGGCGGAAGAGGTGGACCTCCTCTCGGATCACCTCATGCTAGAGATGGAGGCCCACCTGACTCCCCCGCGAAGGGATGAGCCGGGCGACAGAAGACCGCTCAGATGGGCCACGAGAAAGTTAGACCCTGACAAATTGCAGGCGTCCTTGGCCGCGGAGACGTGGGCCCCGAGGGCAACTGTAACGCGGGAGGGGGAGATTGAAGAAGAGGTCATATGGATGAGGCAGGCAATGACCCGGGCCTGTGACCAGGCCATGCCGAGGTCGACCTTCTCTGCGCGAAGGGCCACATACTGGTGGTCTGAGGAGCTGGGGGACCTCCGCCGCGAGGTCATTCGCGCGAGGAGGAAAGTCCAGAGGGAAAGAAGGCGAACGACAGTGAACCAACAAACCCTGGACCTCCTACTAGATCACTGGAAGGAAAAGAGGAAGGGGCTGAAGATGGCTATACTGGCGGCGAAAGAAAAGGCCTGGGAGGAGGCCATCGCCAGTCTGGAGGAGGACCCCT